CCTTTTTTATCAAGCATGAAAATGACTTTTAAAAATGATATATAGACTTTAAAGACATTTTTATTATGAAAGCTTAATTAAAAATATTCTTCAAAGGTCCATACACTTCAAAACTCTCAAATCGGAACAAATGAGATCAAAACGTGAAAAGACCTTACTGTCGGGACGGTCAACCGCCCAGAGAGGCGGTCGATTGGCCATGAGAGGCGGTCGATCGGACTCCTCCAATGGTCCAAAATATGACCGTTCTAACTTCTGATTTTACTGTACAAACGGTTATATTGGTCTTCTGGAAAAGAGGCGGTCGACCGGACAAGTCATCCGTAAATTCAGATTTTTTACCGTTTTGGACTCTATAAATACCCCCAACCTCTTGCATTTATTTCATCATTTCTAAGAGCATTAAATTGAGATACTTTCAGGTTTTAACTTTCTACTCTTTATTTATCTCTATCAATTCATTCACTTTTGAAAAACTTTTGATTGAGTTTACTTTTGAAAATCATTTCATTTATCAAAATTTTTCAAACCTAACACTTGAGCTTCACTTACTGCCATTAATTAAAGTGTTAGCCTACTTCTTTCCATTGTACTCAACTTTGAATATATTTTTATTGTGGAAGAAGATTCCTTTTTGTTAAGTTTACTTTTGATTGAATTGTGGGTCGTGTTGAGGTCCCGGAAAGCTCAACATTGTAAAATGATCGGTGCTCCTTGTTTGTAAGTCACCGAAAGCTTTGTAGAAGGTTGGATTGCACCATAAGTCAATCACATTTAGTGAAAAATGTCTTGCTCGTGACAGAGAGCTTGGTAACGGATGACGTAGATCGTGATTTGATCGAACTTCCATAACATATCGTTTGCATTCTCTATCCCTTTTTCTTGTTATTTTTCAAAGTTATCTTGCTTGCTCTTTTTTTTATTTGCAAATTGTTTATATTAGCACTTATTATTGAAAAAGATTTAAATAACCAATTCACCTCCCCTCTTGGTTAGTCATTCTTGGGCTTTCACCATCCACGCCTCTTGCTGATCCAAATTATCTCAAATATCTTCAAACAATCTCTCGAACCATCGTATCACCTCTCTCGAACCATCGTATCACCTCATTCGACGTGTTGACTTAATTATTATTTTCGCTTGAAGTAGATTCATCTTTGTTAGACATCCTAAATCTAAAGTACTATTTAACTCACATGTATACGCTCATTTATTAATCGAATTTGGCTTTTTTCCCCCTATTAGTCTCACCACTCTTATCTTTTTCCATTCAATGCTTTCTTCTAAGTGCTTCAAAGAACTAATATGATCTCAACGAAGTTTTACCCTTAGGATGTGAGTGAGAAACTATAACTTAGAATCTTAAGGAAGGAAATAAAAGAAGCGAAGAAATTTGACACTTTGGGTAAGAACTAATAATAATCCAAGAAATTGGTTTTTGAAGTTAGATTGGACAACCTTTTTTAACTCAAGGAAGAAAAAAATTAAAATGAAATACTGCTGACAATTTTCGAATTTTTGCTCAGAAATTTAACTACGATACTAGCATAAGAAATAGAAACTAATTTGGGTGCTAAATTAGCACACAAACACTTCTGAAATTATTTATTTTATTTTATTTTATTGGTATTTTTATAGATTAAAGACTCAAAAGAAGAAGAATGTGAAAAGCGCCAAGAACCAAAAAACAAAATAAAAGATTCAAACAAAAGAGACAAAGATATAACCTTGATTTTTGGAGCCTAGGCTCTAATACCAACTGATGCGAATTCACGTAACAATAGTAACTAAGAAACCAATGTAAGATTGATTGAACTCCAAGAAAGTCAAGAATCAATGTTTAGAATTTGATCAAAAAAATAGTGAACCAAATAACCAATAAAATTGCCGACAATATGCTGATCTCATGATCTCAAGAATCTCACCCGAATTATTTAAACGCCATAAGAAATAAATTTTGCTAAGTTCAAATTTTAGTTCAATGAAGAATAAAATCAAAACCAATTATGCCTCTCAATAATATCTCTCAAATGTTAATTCCTTACAATGAAAATAATGAGTCATGTTTGCATGGAACTCATAAAAACCTTAGTTAAAATGAAATATAAATCTAAAAAGACTAAGATACCATAAAATAGAGTTTTAACATAAATAGAAGATTAAGTGAATTAGGAAAATTCGCATGTCGAAGATGTACGATGCGGCTAATGTGGTTGCATAGGTCAAGATGAATTTCAACTTTTTGTCTCGGTGTCTTCACATGCAGCCTCATAAATGTTACAACTATGCGGTCGCATAGTGTAGCTTCTCGGCCCCTTCATCTGCTACTTGAATCAAGTTGATCTATCATGTTTCTTCTCTTGAGCCCAATATGAAACTTGTTTCTTTATTTGTTGTGATCGATGTTTCATTCACTATAACTTGAACAGGTAACCCTATCGTTTCTTTAATCCTCTTAGCTCGCGACCTAGTCGTAGGCCCTTCTTCAACGATTGCGTGTCAAAAATGTAATTTGGGATGCAATCGCATAGGTCAACATGAATTCCGTCTTTTTATCTCAGTGTCTTCACATGCGGCCGCATACATGCTACAACTATGCGGTCGCATAGTGTATCTCATAGTGCTTTTCTGCTTGAATCAAGTTGATTCATCATGTTTCTTCTCCCAAGCCCAATATGAAACTTGTTACTTTGCTTGTTGTGATTGATGTTTCATTTACTGTAGCTATCGCTTCTTTAACCCTCTTCGCTCGCGACTTAATCATAGGCCATTCTTCAACGATCAATAGATCCTTGCCTAGACTTGCCTTCATGCCATGGATCACATCGTTAACTTTTTTCGACAAGTTCTACTCGACCTTGCATGATGTATAGTTGAGACCTCTTCCATCTCTCTAATACAACACGAACACCCTTCCGAACCCTCAAAACTCCACCTCTTCTAGAGAACGTATTCCCTTTTGGATCAAGAATACTCAATGAAATGAGATATTTTTCTTCAAGTTTGGAATATGTCGAATGCGATCCAAGTATTCTACAATTTACATCCACGAGTTTCAATCTGATTCTGCCAATACCAGCTACCTAACCAGGTTCATTGTTATCATGACAACACCACCTTATGCCACCGTTTCATATGTTTCAAACAAATCTCGATTGAGACACATATGGAATGTACAAGTTGTATCAAAAATCCATTCCCCATCAAAATCGTGGAATAAAGGAAACAATATTTTTTAATAAAAATGTGTGAAATAAAGAAAATAATATTTTCCTAAAAAAATCCAACTTAATTTGTGTAAAAAAACCCAATAAGTTGGCTGCGATAGGAAAGCAAGTGGTTGAGGGTGGGATGGTTGGAGGTGGTGGAGAAAATGTAACAGTAGAGAGAGTGGGAAAGGAACGGGTGATCTTTGAGTTAATATGTATAGTACCTGATACGTAGAATTGTTATTAAGATTCTTAATTTTATAACTTTTAAACATAATAGCGCGATTGAGCTTAATTTCCTATTTTATTATTCACTAATGGTATTATATCTTGTCAAGTGAATAGACCAATGCACGGTTCCTCCAACAAGCATCACAAATACTCAAAATATCAATTCCATTGAAAGAGGAGTTGAGATCAAATTGAGCCACGCTACGTGTACAGATGGTGGTTTATAGATTACGCTAGAGGGTGGGATGGGTGGTTCATTTTTGAGAGGGGGATACATGGGGCCTAGCCCCACATGAGGGATTTGTGTGGATCCTGTAGAACAGTTTTCTGTACACAGGGAATTGCTTGATCAAATTTCACGATTCTATTATTAATTTTTTGTGATCGCCATCACATATATCTTTTGATTAAATAATAAATACAATTCAATGTCTGTTGTTCCCATGTACTTGTCATAATGCCCCCACTAACGAGGAATTTGCAAGTAAATTTTGAAATGGAAATTTGAGTGGGTCACGCCTGGAAACTAAGCCTTTGTTCAAGTCCCATTTCGGAAAAAATAAAAAATAAAATAAAAAAATAAAAATAAAAACTCATTTTGAAATAGTAGATTGGTGGAAAATAAGTGGTTAAAAATTAACTAAAAGTGTTTTGAATTTGTTTATAATATTATTTTGTTGAAAATACGTTTCAAAAAAATTAATTTTTAGAAAAATTAGGCTCAAACAAGCACTAAATAAATTACATATTTAAAATATAGCCATAATTTGTACTATCAAAATTAATAAATTTTTAACTTATAAATAAGACAAAAGTCACTAAACAAAAAATTACGAGAAAGTATATTTGAATAACGTTTAATCTTAGCTATGTAGTATGAGAAAGATTCGCATCGGTGTAATTTATAAAAATCAAAGATAGAAGACTAAGTCCCAATTTATCTCTTTTCAAAATAAAACTTTCTCATACTTATTTTCAATTATATATTCACATAATAAAATATTTTACAAGTAGACTCAAAAAAAATTTCCTACTTTTTGACCACATATTTTTCAAAAATATCACTATTTAAAACAATATTTTTTTGGCAATAATAGCCATCAACCAGAGGCTAAGCTCCATTAATTTAGATAATGAAAATCTTATCCTGGGTTATGTTTCAGGAAAGACCTGACGTAGTTTTATACAGATACTGCTAGGAGATTGAGTCAATATTATATTTTTAGTAGCTACTGATCAAAGTTGATAAAATATATGATTGAAAAAATAATAAAAATATTGGCTTTCATGAAATTTATTATTAAGATTTATTATTAAGATTTATTGGCTTTCAGATTTACTGATCAAAGTTAATAAAATATATGATTGAAAAAATAATAAAAATATTGGCTTTCATGAAATATATTATTAAGATTTATTGTAAATTTTGACTTAAATTTTCATCAACTTATTTAATTAAACCAAACAGGGACTAAACATATGTTTGGCAGCTGTATTTATAAATCGATATAAATAAGTGATTGATAAATTAATAATACATATGAATCTCACGAAATCTGTAAATATGTAATAAAAATTTATTATACTTTTTAATCAACGTACTCAAAGCGAGACATCAAAGAACAACACAATAACTTGTAAGGGCTTGTCTTGTAAACAGTAAACTTATAAAGCATTTCACATTAGTTTTGTCGATACACACAAAACTATTCTTATTATTCATGACTCGCGAACACATTATTTTTACTTATAAACTGGTGAATTTTGATTTAATTTCAGCAATTGGGAACCGCCACCCCGCAGCTGCTAGCAACCTTTTTTGCATTAGGGGAATTCACATACTTCCCGAGATTTGGATCCTTGATATATCCACAGAGGCAAGGCTTCTGTTCCTGGAGTTTTTTGCAACAGGCTGCGGACGGTGGCTGCCCTGACGTGATCGCACCCAGGCATGGACTTAGCTGCAAAGGACTGCAAGTAACTGCTTCACTCACATGCAATTCACCAAACAGCAACACCACTGCCATCGCCACCATGCACAGGACAGCACAACTGGCCTTCTTCATCTTCAAAATATGCAGTCTTGTTTATCGACTAACCAGAGAGAGAGTATGGAGGAAAATTTATGCAAATTTTGGGGGTTTTGGGGGTCACAATTTATAGAAGTGGGGACAAGTCTACGGAACTTGCTTGCAAAATTATAGTGGGTATGCGTCAATGGAGTAATGGGAAAAAAGGACACTATGGAAATCTACTGCCAATGTATTGATAAAATTAATTGTCCAAGAAAATTTTGTCCTACTTAAGACTTTTCTTTGCCTAATTCGATTTGCAGTCCCGTAATACACGGGATAAGTAGAAATTTGGATCATATTATTCAATTCTCTCTTCTTCTTTTTTTTCTTTTTTTTTTTCTTTTTTCTACAAAAAATAGATGTAGAGGATAAAATCCAGCATGACTACCTACGTTCGGGATGGTCGGACCTTGTTTGGCCAATTTTAGACCTCCTAGCTTGATATGAGAGGTGGGTCATACTAATTTGGATCTCTAGCCTCACGGGACGGGAATATTTTTCATTTAGTGCATTTTTTTATAATGTTTAAGTACTTATAAGTTATGAATATGACGAAAGTTATAGATAAGAAGTATGTTTAATCAACTTCAAATATTATTTCAAGTTAGTCAAGTATGCTCTTGATTGTGTTTTCGTAAGGAAATTATTTTAACAAATAAAAGAATTGATAGGTCAACCAACCACCCTCATATTTTCTTGGCCGAGTTGGCTCCTAAGCAGCCAAATAGACTATCTGAAGGTGACTCAACTCACTTTACATCTCTATGGGTGAAGAAGCAATGAGTGGTGGATATTTGGCACTAAAACCATAATGCTAATGGATTTTGATTCGATATTGAAATAATTAGTTTTATAATGCTAATTAATAAAAAAGAATTGACTGGTCAACCACCAGTCCTTGTATTTTCTTAGCCAAGTTGGTTCATAAGGAGTCAAATGGACTATCTGAAGATGACTCGACTCACTTTACATGTCTATGGGTAAAGGAGCAATGAGGAGTAGCAGTTATTTGGCATTAAAATGCAAGGTAATGCTAATGGATTTTTGCGTAATAATTAGTTTTATAATGCTAATTTATATATATTTTTTAAAATGAAATAGTACATGCACACACCCAAGTGCGAATTCTTTTTCTTTTTCAATTAAGCAATAATAAATTATAAAAAGACTTTTCTGAAAATTAAATTAAACATAAAAAATATTCATTAAAAAAATTAACTCTCTTGAAAAATAGTAAAAGCTAAACGAAGCGATCACAGCCTTTGATAAATTGTTAGATAGTGATTTTATGAATTGATTTTTTGACCGTTGGAGGGAAAAGTGGGTTCTACGTGTAAAAAAAGAAATAAAAAATGACGGCTTAAATAGTAAAATAACAATAAAAATAATAATTTTTATAGGTTGAAAAATTGCTATCAAACATGCAATAAATAAATCTAGAATTGGCGTGTAATTGACTTCCAAGTCTTGGTCTTGTACTAGTCATTACTTTATTGCGGGGAACCACGGAGAAACTTTCCAAGTGATTAATTGACTAATCAAATACATATTAGAAGCAAATGCATTGAATGGTAAGCGTCAAGCCGGCAATTAAGAGGTGCCATAGAAATTATTGACGTTGAAATTTGTGTTGAAGGATTATAGTTATAGCAGCCCTTCATGTACGGAAAGAGGGGTTACAGAACCCCTCCAGACAAGACACAAGGGAGGGTGGTTTTTTTTATATCCTATTTTACTCACATGGCGTTCACCTCCATGTGAGATTTCTATATTAGTTCTGTAAATTCCTTTCTGTACAAATGGAATAATACTTATAGTTAGGATATTACTCAGGCTTTGGTCACATGAGAATTTTCTCTGTGCAGCTCAAATTAATTCTTGTGTAGGATTTGTAATTGGTCGACCTTATTATTTTAAGATGGACTTGATAACTCTTGATGGTCGACTAGAGATTTATTAATGTAATGAGTCGGATCTATGCTAGGTTTGATCGTGATGAAATTTTTTTCTTTTAGAGTTGGCTTGTGTCATCAATTTAGCTCGTGAAGCTCATAATCGTGTAAGAACATGTGAAGCATCAAGCCCAAATGGCTACTATGATGAAACTTTGATGAGTTAATCAAGTTATTAAGAATTTTAATTTGGTATTGTCCTAATTAGAATATGACTTTGTATTTGTCTATCTACATAGATTATAACTTCTAGAAGCGTGAGTTGAAGAGGGAACAAGTCCCACAGAGAGATAATAAGTGGAAGTAAGAGTAGCAAGGTAAGGACCGCATATAATAGGGGGGTGGGAAATCCATTAAATTCCCCAGAAGTTGGGAAAGCCAGAACTCTTGTAAACCTGCTTGGTTTACTACTGATGATGAGATTAAGAATCTCATATTGGAAAAGAAACTAAACATTGCGTTTTCATTAAGAAATTGAAATATTTCATTTTCTCGGGAATTTTTGTTATTCTTCGCCTTACCAAGTTGATAACATCTATCCTTTTTCTTTTTTCTTTTTTTCAAATATAAGTAATTATCGTTAGTATTTTATTTATCCTAATTTGTGAGATAAGAATGTGCTATTTTGAAGGCAAGACTTTGGGTCATTTGTAGTCTCCTCTTGTAACTACCAAGTGAATTTTTCTTATTATGTAGATTATTGAGGGTTTGGGATATCCTAGTTTTCACATAGTGAAATTTCTTTTACAACATATTATTTTCACCGTTTTAGAGTTTTCCTCGTGAATCTTTATGTTTTTTTCATCCATTTATTTAAATTTTGTGTCTCTTTAATATTTCTTTAGACAAAAATCCTCTAGGAAAAATTCAGTAATATTGTATTTTATAACTATCAAAGTAAACCTGTAATAAAGGGGAGAGATTTTAGAAATTTGGATAAGTACCCTCTTTTTAAAAGCCAAAAAATAAAATAAATAAATTCCAGTTTTAAACTTTCTTATTTTGACTTTCTCCCATCCCATTCCTAAAACAATAATGTTAATTGAATAATTGTACATCATTGTATACATGGTGATGATGATGAGAGAGAGAGAGAGAGGGGAGGGGGGGGGGGGGGGGGGGGGGGGAACCTTTTTTATAAAATCAGGTTATCTTTGTAATTACGCATGTTCGTTACTAATTCTTAGAATCAATTTTTTTACTATTAAAGAGAAAAGTGGGTTTCACTTACGAGTGAAGAAGTAAAAAAATGACGATTGACCATGTTAAATAACGGTTAAAAATTTGATTTTTTGTCTTGAAAAATCAAAATCAAACAGGAGTTTAATATTATTCACATCATCAATTTATACACAATGATTTACAAGCAACATCACGCTACCTAAAATCGCGGAATAATGCACTGCACTTTGAATTCTGTACAATCAATAATCAATCATGCTATTATATATACAAAATTTTTTTAGAATATTGATTGACAACATCACATTCATCTTTTTGGAACCTATTTTTTAAATCAAAGGCCCAAATTATCAACCACAAATGTCAATAACAATTGTATAAATAGCTTTATTCATCAACAATGCCACCAACCCAAATACTCCCAAACTAAACCAAGCCAAACCTCACCCAAACCACATCCCTTCCCTCACACGCCAGTCCATCGATGGCGTTAATTTATCTCGCATCGACGACTGACAATCCCCACCATTCACTCCACTTAAGCCTCTGAGATTGTTCACTTCACATACTGGACTACGAATGCGGCTCATTTCGATTAGATGGTTCTCAGCCCATAATCATCTGTTGGCTCGTCTAGATCACAGCCCACTTCCACTCAAAAGGCTGCCTCAACACCCAAGTCATTTTAAAAAGTTCAAAAAATTTCTAGCTCTTAGATCCTCGCCAAGTTCTTCATTTAGGGAAAATTTTCATAGGACATCACTTTAATTTACATATTGAGTCTTCCCTCTTATATTTTTATTTTAATTTGACCATTCTATCTATAATTGTGATTGTTAAAATTTGAGTGTGACCCAAAATCTTTGTTAAAGACAATTGAGATTTCTAATTAAAGTGCACATTAAGAAGAATTATGCCCCCGTTTGGCCCCCATTAAATTTCATTACATTACATTCAATTTTTCTCTCTCCTATTTTCAATCACACAATCTTTCATAAAATAATATTACAGATTTATTAAAAACTTTTCCTTCATTTTCAATCACTCATTTTTCGAAAAAAAAAAAAACACAGGCCAAATGGGGGCTATATTTGGAATGCTTTTGAAATCCTTTTCGAAATCTATTTAACAAATTCTAGTTGAAATTCTATTTGAAAACTCTATTGAGAGTTGAAATTTATGTTGAACTTAAACAGATCAAGAAAAACAATTTTTGGGCATTCTATTTCATTTAGAACTCTACTTCCAGACTCGGAGTGTTCCCTATATATATATATTTGATTCTTTTCTACATTTTAGTTTGGTTGTTTAACCTCTTTATAAGTTTGACAAATGTAAACACAAAATCTTTGTATTTTTTTTCTCCATATTATAATAAAACATTCATTCTCTGCAAATTATTTTATTATTGTATTCTTGCGATCAATTACTTTCATATTGCCCATATTTTCTCATTCTTTAATTATTTGACCGAATTCTTAACAAGTGGTATAAGAACTTTTGGTTTTGAAATCTTGGAAAGATCGAACTTTTTCGTGATGGCAACTATGAAGATTGATGTTACGCTATTGGATAGATGTACAAGATTTTCGTTGTGGCAAATTAAGAGACGAGTATTACTCACTTATATGGGATTGATTTTGTTGTGTTTTTTGCCGTTTTCATATTTGTTGTTTAAAGACACGATCTTATTCTTAGATAGTCGTGATCTTATCATTGAACAAGTTTATGATACTCTATCTTCAAAGGAGAAAATAAAGAACATTGTTGAGGTTTATAGATATGGCCTTGTTCTTGATGGTGGTTGTGCAAGGGGCAAATTAAGGTTTAACTTCAAAATTTATTGGAAAAATTTGGGTAGTGGTGTTAACCAATCAAGCCGACTCGCGAGCCGAAACTCAATGCTCGGGCTCGACTCGAGTAAAATGGTCCGAGCTTTTTTGGGATCTCGAGCCGACCTATTGCTCGACCAAGAAATCAAGGTTCAGCTCGAGCTTTCGGCTTAGGCCTTACCGAGCAGAGTCAGGCAGGCTCTTTTTTTTTTTTTTAATAATGGCAGCACCGTGTTGCCTAAAAAATCAATAAGGCAGCAACCTATTGCCTTTAAACTGTAATTAGATTTTTTTTTAAATATAGGCTCGGACTCCCCGAAATGGGGCTCAACCTGGGCCCGCTCAAACTTTTTTCGAGCCTAGTGGACGAGCCTGATTGCCAATCCTAAATTTGGGGCACTTAATTAAGAATTGTTATAAGTTGCGTAATTGAGAAAATTTGGCTACAATTTTTCAGAAGGGAAAGTAATTATATACCTTAGATGAAGCCATTATTGAAACTTTTCTTGATTATAGAGAGCTTTTACTTGAAACTTTTCTCGATTATAGAGAGCTTTTACTTATGTCTGACTACAACTCCAATTCTGACAAGGCCTGGATTTTGGATACGTCTTGCACTTTTCATGACTCCTAATTGGGATCTATTTTCAACATATGAAAAATTTTCAAAAGGTGTTGTGATGACCGATAATTACACACCTTGTTGGATAGTCGTATTGTTCGAATCAAAATAAAGATATTTGATGGGACGGTTAGAACATTTGATGCAGTGAGACACGTTTCAAATCTGGAGAAAATCTTATTTTCATGACTACTCTTGATTCAAGGTAGAGTTTCAAAGGTTATCAAAGGAGCTCGTGTTGTTATGATGGGACATAGAAAATCATTTATATATCTTGCAGGGTGATATAGAATTTTCGGGTAATCGGCATATTTTAAGAATTCAAGTGGATTTAGAATTGGCTTCTGTACTGTTGGAGACTAATTTGGAGTCTTCGTTTAAGAATACATCTCAGTTGAATTTTAAAGATATGAATAAATCCGTCTTGTCACCATTATCGACAGTGTCATCGTATTCACTTGCTAAAAATAGACCCATTTTTTGTCATAAAATTCCATATAGGTATAATTCTGGTGATTTTATTGATGTTTTGAATGCGGTTAGGAGTGTTGATTTTAGCCAAGATTCTTCTTTTAATTTATTCAGTTGTGATTCCATTACAAGGCTTGTATCGACCCTATTTGGTAGTCACTAAATCACTTTTACCCCTAGTTGGGGTAGTAGAGGTAGAGAATGTTCCAGTTGGAATTGTTGATGGAGAAGTTCGTTTTTGTTTTTCATTGAAGAGTTCAAATTTATTCCTCGCAGTAGAATTTGTCTCTAGGTTGAGATTTTTTTTAAGTTGGAATTCGTGTTAAGATGAAGACTGTCACACCCAAATTCTTTGTTGAAGATAATTGAGAGTTCAAATTAAAGTGCATATTAAAAATAATTCTATTTGGAATACTTTTGGAATCCCATTCGAAGTTTATTTGACAAATTCTAGTTAAAATTCTATTTGGGAGCCTTGTATAGAGTTAAAATTTGTGTTGGACTTAAAGAGATCAAGATAAAGAAATTTTTGGACATTTTATTTCATCTACAACTCTACTTCTAAGATTTGGATTATTCCATATATATATTTGGCTCTTCTCTACAATTTAATTATGTTGTTTAACCTCATTGTAAGTTACACAAATCATAAATGTAAAGTAATTGTATTCTTTTTCCATATTATAATAAAATTTTCATTCTCTGCAAATTATTTTATTATTGTATTCTTACAATCAAGTACTTTCATATTGCCCATATATTCTCGTTCTTTAATTGTTTGATTGGATTCTTAGCAGTGAAAAAAACTAATAATCACTTTTACATGGCTAACAGAATGCATATATAATCCAATAATACGATATTGACAATTAAAAACAAAAAGTCAAATGAAGGGTTAAGAAGCCTAAATTTGCCATTGTGCGATCCGGTTCATTTTATTTGATAAGTTTGCTATTTATTTAGCATCAAATAAGAACCAAGTCACAGAATGCATATATAATCCAATAATATGATATTGCAATTAAAAACAAGTTAAGAAGCCTAAATTTGCCATTGTGCTATCTGGTTCATTTTGTTTGATAAGTTAGCTATTTATTTAGCATCAAATAAGAACCAAGTCACAGAATGCATATATAATCCAATAATATGATATTGCAATTAAAAACAAGTTAAGAAGCCTAAATTTGCCATTGTGCTATCTGGTTCATTTTGTTTGATAAGTTAGCTATTTATTTAGCATCAAATAAGAACCAAGTCACACATCCCGCCCAGGGCCGGCCTCGAGAATTTTGAGGCCCTGGAAGACTCATCATTATGAGGCATTTGAACGTAAATTTTTTACAAACGTAAAAATACTCTAAATGTTTAAATAAATAATATATTTATATTTTAGAAGAAAATTGGGTAAAATCTATAAGATAGAATTGCAAAAATAAAAACAAAAATTCCGACAACTCTAGAGACAAGGTTAACATAATATTTAGCGAAATTATCCCGTTTGTGGAAAAAAAAATTGTCATGTAAGTAGTTATCTTCAAAATTATTTAATTAAAAAAACTTGAATGAAGTGTAATTTAGAAATCGTGAAATAGTTTTTAAAAACCATAATTTGAAATCCTTTGAATATTGTAAGGATGACTTGTAAAGAGAAAAATAATTTTCAGTTATAAAAAGTACAAAATTTAGTGACTAGTTTGCAAAATAGTGAGAAATATAAAATTTTTAGATGATAATATGATGAGTTATGATTATTTAGTGATTAAAAACATAACTAGATTCATATGATCTTGATTCAAAAACATTTTAATGAATTCAAGATTTTGAAGGATTAAAGTGAAAATAAGTTTTGAGGTCAATAATGTATTTGTACCAAATGTGTATTTATTGGAGTATCAAAATTATCCTATCAACATTGGACTCGTCCCGAAACTCGCGATAAATGACACATTATGAATTCGAGAAAATGTTAATTTGGATAAAGCAAATTCAAGTTGTAACTCATTAAAATAACTACTTGATGTGTAATATTATTTTTTAAATTAAATCAGATTACCCTAAGGACATTGA